CAGCGTTGATTTGCTTATGGTTATGACACCTAAACCATGCCTTCCAATAGAAATAAAGCTTGGGTTTGAGATACTAATTGAAAAATAAAATAGCTTTCTAAAACACTGTGTGAGGAATTCAAGGTGGATTAATCAGTGTCCTAAATAACCACAGGTGATTTAGGAAACTTTCCACTCAAGTTCAGCTAAGGCCCTCTCACAATAATCCCCGCTCCCCTGGAATGACATTCGTTTTTACTCAATCTTTGGATTCTTCCTAAATCTTTAGTGAATGTTCATTTCTCCTCTAGAAGTTATTAATAAGTTATTAAGGCTATATTAATAGTTACTCCTTTGACATGTACTAGAGTGTCAGCAGAACAGCATTTTTGTTGCAGAAAATTCCTAAGACTTTGAGAGCTGGCACACATTGTTCATGGTTTCATAACTCCAGATTATACTAAGGAAAGCTTTAAAAAAGGGACAATTAGTCCTTAAGGGAAAAAAAAGCATCATGGTTCAAGTGATCTGAGAGGCTTTCATGTGGTGTTATTGTGGATTACCATAGCCTTTACATTTACATAATAATGTACATACCAGGGCAGACCAAAACCCTACCTTAGACCAGTGTCTGAAAGGTCAACCACCACCACACACTAAGAGAACTGGCCAAGAAAAAGATTATGGGTTTGGACAATGCAGACATCAGACTGGTTCTTGGGATTGGATTAGGTTCTTCAGTCAACTTTGTTAAAAGAAAGATTCAGTCTATTCTCCTAGGTTGGAGGTGGGACTGGGAGTGGCTTTATTTCTCTTGCTGACAAGATTTCCTGTCTCCTTCACTTATTGCTGACAAACTTGTAAACAACCAATGACTAAAAACACTTCAGAGGAAAGAGAACTATCAAACTTGTATTTTCTTCTTGAATGCAGATATAATCCCTGAAGTAAACCAGCATTCTCTAGTAACAATCACCAATAACTCTTTATTTTCCAACCAGCTCTTTCTGTAGATTAAATAAATACAGTTCTAAGTTTGTACTCTGTCTGGAAGAGCGCAAGAAGCAACTCTCCTGTGAAAAATACAAAACAAAAATAGCAATAAAAATTAGTCATCAGAAGCCTGGGCACACTGAGCTGCCTGCAGAGATCAGAACTGGATAGTCAGGATGTCCACTGCACCAAATACAATGAATAAGACACCACAGAACCGAGTTTACAACCCAAAATCTCAGGGTACAGGAGGAATTACCCTGCACTCAGCTGAAACAGAGATAGCAGTGTAACAAGGGACAGGTCTGCTCCAGTGACAACCACACAAAGGGGCTGCTGGGTAGCAAGTTTCACAGGATGCAAGTAGAGGGAGGTGGCTGCTCTGCATTGTGGCAGGAGTGAAAAGAGTATTTGAACACAGTGGTGTCACACAGTAGTAGTTCATCCTGACTTGATGAAGGTCTTATGATGCATTATGGCCGAGTGGCCCATGTAAAGTATCCTTCCCCATCAAACTTTGTCTAGGCTTCCCTTAGATGGGCACTGCATACAGAACACCTCTTGAAAGCCTCCGGGCAAATTCAACTTTTCTGTTGTCTTGGCTTTTCCATCTATCTTCTGTCTTCACCAGCCCATTACAAAATCACTGCAGTTGACCCAAACAGAGTTCTGCTCTGTTTTCATCCTAAATCCAAGAATGGGGAGGCTGTGTTTTCAGGCACATGGAATAGCTGTGACCACACACTCACATGTATCCTTTGTAAACCCCCTGTGAGATGCCCAGGGCCAAAACCTGTGCTCCTTCTGACTCTTCCTACTCCACCCTGATGTCTCATAAGAAGCGGCAGCTCCTAGCATGGGTTTAGGGAAAAGTCTAACCTTAAAAAAAAATATCTTCAAAACGCGAAACAGATCTCACACTTGCGCCAAGAGACCCAGAGCTAGACTAACATAGGAGCACATATATAGTATTCAATCCAGTGTATTCTCTAGCTTCCAACAATCTGCATCTCAGATTTTTAAGAGCTTAGAACTAAGAGCTTAAGTTCCTTTCATGATTCAGAATAAGGATTCTCTGATCAGGCATCTTTGAATTCAGTTTCTCTCAATAAAAGCCCAACTAGCTCCATCCAGAAGTTATTTACCAACTATTTTGATCCTAACTTGTTTAACTGAACTGGAATCCCCTGAGAAATATTACAGTTCTATTTTAAAAAGCATACATGTATACCATTTGTATTTACTGATCACTAAGAGTGGGAAAAAATGTCTTTCTGTTCCCCTCTTAACCATATTTAACTGTTGCAAAAAAGATAAAGAACCAACTATTGTTTATTCATTCTTTCAAAATTAAGTTTGAACTAGACAACCCAATGATTCAAACCATGACACAGGAAATAGACAGCTTTGAGTCAGTCTTGTTTATCTTTCTATCACGTTCTTGAAACTACCGTAACTTTAAAGTGTAAAGATACACTTCACTCCGGAAATTCAACAATTAAGAATGTAAAAGATCCTTCTTTTTTTCATTCTCTCTCTCTCTCTTTTTTTTTTTTTTTTTTTTTTTAAGCAGTATAGTCCTGTACGATCAAAAAATCAATTCTTCTGCCATTCAGGTGAAAAATACAATCCCATACAACGGAGGAGACGAACGGAAGAGAGCTAACGAGAAGATCCACATCGTGATACTCTTTTGTCCTGTGAGACACTGGCCACTCCTATGAAGTAGGGGGAGTGGTAGCAATATCTGCTTCCAGCTGTCAAGATGCAACCCAAAGCAGGCAGAATACACGTCACTTACAAGGCTGTCGGTCAAGCAGGAAGTGGGATCTATTCAATTACACCAGTTATTCACACCTAAAGAATCTCTGCAACGTTTGTTGTAAGCGGCTGCTTTACAAGTGAAATAAGGAAAGCGCTAAGGGGGGAGGGGAGAATGCAGGTGGTGTCTATTGCAGTCCCTTAATTTCCCACAAATTTAAGAACAATAGTGCACCTACGACATTTTATATTTCAGAGACCATTCAGAGAAGCTGAGCATAATTGCTCAGAAATCAATTAAACCAGATGCATATCTTGTAATCTACCTGGTTCTAGAAACAGAGAAATATTTTAGCTATTTTAGCTATTTTTGGTTCAGAAGACAATTCTCTAAAAGTTGTAATTGTTGTCTAAGGCAGTCATCTAAGATAGCTTTGTTATCACATTCTCTGAATTGCAGTAAGTCTGTCTTTGTGCAGAAAATGCAGTTTTGACAGAAGTGAATAGCGAGCTCTGTGTCTAGACCACTTCTCAAGCTTGCTTTTTTGGATCAAATACTAATCCCATTTGGTTTCCTGACAGCAAAGGAATCAGGTTGCTCAAAGAATTCAGATGTCGATGTTTTCTTCTGAAAACACAAGGAGGACCAATACCCCTAACCACTGGTGTTCGGAAGGGTTTTAACTTCCCCTTGTGTTTCCTCTGGTCCAATTTGTCTTTTAATGCCTGTTGAACTGTGGCAATGCTTCACCAGCACCAGAGGAAGGTAACTCAACCTCAACCCTGTCACTCAGGGCACTGTAAAGAGGAGAGACAACTGCAGAAAACTGAAATGTAAGGAAAGGTCCAACCTGTTTCTACTTTTCAAACAAGTACAATGAAGCACATATGTTTGTTAGAATAAGGTACAGCAGCTACACTCAAGAATAAAACTTATGACTCATCTCAGAAAGGAAAGCATTGCTTAGACCTGAACACAGAGCAGGAGAGTCTCAAATAGCTTCTCTAAATATTTCTCACGGGCTAGCCCTGAGTATTTCATCAAGCACTGTGAGGCCAGGTGGCTCTGGTCAGCACACTGACTGACCCCTTGGCTGCCACCACACACAGCAAAGCACACTGAGCACTGCACTCCAAGCCAAAAATTACCAGCACGGGATTCTGCTGTGGCCAGGAGGCTCATTCAAGTTAGGACTTTCCTTCGCACCATCAGCTTCACGCTTTAAAATTAAGTTCTGTATACATAACCATACATGAGAAACTAAGGGCTTGGGGCAGTTGCCAAAATACTGTCTCAAAGCTTGAGAAAAAGAAGTGGAATGATTTCCCTCAACAGTTCTTATCCAAGTTTAGGGATACTTTTTTACTTTACACTCTAAGTTAAGATGGTTTACACCAACACTTCAAGTCACAAATTTCAAATGATGCTCTAAGATCATGATTTACAATAAGTGAATGTAAACTGGCCAAAGAATAACAGCTACAAAGGAGAGAAATTTGATATAGCATGTTCTACCTTTTTATCCAGGCACACAATATCATCCCACTAGATATTTAGGGAATAACACCACTGTATCTTAAGTTAAATGGTAAAAATCATATTAGCACAATACTACATCAAAAACATACATTAACATGGTCATTCAAGGAAAACGATATGACTCTCACATAAACTACAGCATAGCTAACCCTATATATATACACAGTATACATATATTCAACGAGGAAAACATAAAATTAACAAAACACTACCACAATTTAAGAGACCAAGGGCATAGAATTGATAACTAGCGCTGTCAGCTCAACACTACAAGTGTGATAATTTCCCACCACACGTAAACTTCTAACGAAGGGGTATTTTTCATCAGCCTCTTCACAGACTGCAAAAGCACATACACGACATGGTTACGTTCAGGTATGCAGTTCACAGACGCTCAGCTCGCAGCGCGCCGAGATCACCTGAAACCGAGTCCCCCCAAGGGGATTTCACACGGCAACTGGCTCCTGGCTCGGCACCGCCGAACACTCAATCCAGGCCCGGCAACAGGCGATAGCAGGGGAGTGTAGCTGCCTCTGTCCCTTACTCCCCTCCGCGGCGAAGGGCTGGGGAGGACCTACGTCCCCCACTAGCAGCGGCTGATGGGGTACCCAAGGCAGAGGCTGGAGCACGCCAGTGCAATGCCACCCCCAGCAAGGCAAAAGCTCCCGGCTCCGGGCCCCGCGCCGCCGGCAGCCGCCCCCGCGGCTCCCCCGCACCCTCCACTCACTCTTGGTCGCGGCGATCAGGTTCTTCCCATCCTTCAGCAACTCCTTGATAAACTTATTGGTCTTCTCCAGCTCTGCCTCGTGGGCTCTCACCCGCTCCCTGAACCAGGGGCTGTCCAGGTAGCAGTCGCTGAACTCCAGGGGCTGCAGCCCCATGGCTGCTGTTGCTGCTGCTGTTGCTGCTGCTGCTGCTGCCGCCGCCGCTCCGGGGCTCGCCTCCCTGAGAACCGCAGCGCCGCCGGCGAGCCCTCAGCAACAGCAGGAGCTGAACCCTCAGCGGCCGCGGCCACAAAGAGAGAGCGGCGATCTGCCCCGCACGGCGCTGGCGCGTACAGTGCCGAGCTCCGCCGAGCCGCCCTCCCCGCGGCCGGGGACGCCCCGCTCCCGGCAGCCCCGCCGCGACACGCCCGGCCGGCCGGGGCGGGGCGGCCAGAGCCCCGGGCCCGCCCGCAGACCGCCCCTTCCGAGCGCCCCCGCGGCGACGGCGGCAGCGGGCGGGTGGCTGGGGCTGCGCCGGTGTTCCTGGCGCCCGGGCGGAGCTCCTGCTGGAGCATCGCGGGCGTCCCCGAGCGGGGAAGGCGGGCAGGTACTGCCCTGCTAGTGAGAGCCCTCTGCCCTGCAGAGACACCTCGGCAAGTAAGAGAGGGTGGGCAGGCCACAGCCGTAGTTTAAAAAGGGTAAGTCGAGTTCTGCACCTAGGATGAGGCAACCCTAGTTGTGTGTACAGACTGCGGAATGAGATGCTGGAAAGCGGTGCTGCAGAAAGGGACCTCCAGAAAGGTCGACGGCAAGTTGAATATGAGTCAGCAGTGCCCTGGCAGCCAGGAGGGCCAACCGTGTCCTGGGGGACATCCGGCAAAGCATCACCAGCCAGTGGAGGGAGGAGATTGTCCCGCCAGCTCTGCTCTGGGGTGGCGTCACCTTGAATACTGTGGCAGTTGGGGGCACCGCCACAGAAGAAAGATATTAAGTTATTAGGGCGCATCCAAAGGAAGATAATGAAGATGATGAAGGGCCTCGAGGGGAAGGTGCATGAGGAGCTGCTGAGGTCACTTGGTCCACTCAGCCTGGAGAAGAGGAGACTGAGGGGAGACCTCATTACAGTTACAACTTCCTTGTGAGGGGAAGAGGAGGGGCAGGCAGTGATCTCTTCTCTGGGGTGAGCAGTGACAGAACTCAAGGAGATAGTATGAAGGTTTAAGTAAAGGGAGGTTTAGGCTGGATATCAGGAGAAGATTCTTCACCCACTGAGTGATCGGGCATTGGAACAGGCTCCCCAGGGAAGTGGTCACAGCACGAAGCCTGACAGAGTTCAAGAAGTGTTTGGACAATGCTCTCAGACATATGGTGTGATTTTTGGGATGTCCTGTGCACAGCCAGGAGTTGAACTGGGTGATTCTGATGGGTCCCTTCCAACTCAGCATATTCAATGATTTTACCAGCTGCCAGGCCCCCTCCACCTCACAAAAACGTTTTGGGCTTTAGGAAGGGCACGAGCAGGCTCTCAGTGGGAAGATGCACAGAGCTGCACACGGGCTGCTTGATCCATAATCAGCCATGGTGGTCTGCCAGCTGAGAAGGCTGGCACTGCTTGCCTGCCCCTGTCCTGCTCATGTGTCTGCCCATGAAATACTCTGCAGAGAAGAGGTAGACTCACCTTTATGTCTTCATTCAATAAACTAGTACAAAGAGTTTTTGTGAACAAGTACTGCAGCAAGAGCAAGAGCTTGAGAAGACAACTCAATGAATTATTTCAGTTAAGAATGTTAGGAAACTCATGGAAAAAAACCCAAACCAAAACAGGAAAAGGCTTGTAGTTATATTTTTATATATAATTTAGATATAGTTTCATGGTTTTAGTGGTTTGACCATAGTGCAATTCCTAGTGCTTTGGTGGGACCCTGTTAGATGATTGGGGCATATATGTTTTACTCATGAATGTATGTGCTGTCTCCTTTGGGACTAACTTCAATCTATTTCGTTTTCTGTATTTTGGCAAATTGCGTGTTAGTTCCATTTGAAACAATGAGCTTTGGTATTAATTCAGTGTACTGTTGTTGAGCCCACAGTTAAACCTAATCTGCATGTCTGAGATGAAGATAACTAGGAGTGGAACTATCAGCCCCTTCCTGTATGACCCCAGGCACTGACCTGCAGAAGTCAAGTATGGAAATAGGGGGGCACTTCATGAATCTCATTTTAAATTAATCTGCAAGATAATTGTCTGCTGTGATACTTACTTTCCAATATTACTTATCTGAGAAACTACTATGTTATTCAAAACTCAGTTTAAAAATAATTTAAAAAAAAAACACCCTAAAGAAATAACAAACAATCTTTATCTCTGTTTAGATTACTGGAGCAGCATTTTGAGAGTAAGTATGCCTTCCATGAATTGTTTGTTTACTTTGACCTGTAGTTGTCTTTGGCATTAGTTGGAATAATATTTTTCATGCTTGTTTATAGTTACTGTAGTTTCTCTGTTATAATTTCACTGAAGTGTTGTAAAGTAATTGGATCCCATGCTTTGTGTGGATTTGTGCTTGCATTCAAATTAAAAAGGAAAAGAAAAAAAAAGAATGTTTAGCTTAGTACTGAGTTTTTTTAGCTGGCAAAAAAAAAACACTGGGTCTAAAGTTTAGATTTGTCCTACCATGACAAGCCCATTAAGGAAAATTGGTCCACCTGGCTCAATCATGTAAAGTAAAATGTATTCCATTCTAATTGCACGTAAAAGGAGCAGTTGAAGTCCAACAGAAATAGATACATAAACATAACACAGTTTTTCCCAGAATAGAGTTAACTTGTTTTTACATAATAAGGCAAGGAACCAAATCACTATTACATCGATATTCTACACTGTTTATCCAGTGTTGGTATCCAGACATCTTGGATTCCTATCACCAAAATTATTAAATACATCTTTTCCTAAACCTGACCCACCAGTCAGACTCTAAAACTTCAGAATTGTGATTCAAATTTTACAGCTTTATTGTAGCCTCTTTTAAGAGACTATAAGATAGGTTGACTATGTGAAGACCTAGAAATATCCTGTCCATAAATAGTGTATTTAGCTTTCCTTTGGCTATTTTCCTTTGGCATTCATTGCATGCATGGTGTCAGGAAACACCCTCTTCAAATCATTCTATATGATAGGGATACACCAGCATGTCATATGTTTTGTTCCATCTTATCTTCCTAATGTTCTTGTCTGATCATCATTCTGATTTTCATGCAAGATGATATTCTGATCTGTGGCTGATTGTGTCTCCAGGCCTGATGTTATGGAGAGATGGGTTAGAAATTAGTGAATTTAACTTTCAGTTTTATTGACATTTTATTAGAGAGTACTGATATCAGCTCCCAGCATTTTCAACACACAGTTATGTTGTTGAAAACATCATTAGCAACAACATCCTTCCAAGGAATTATAGCTTCTTGTCTTGTCTAAGCACTTTTACCTCTGTTAGCCCTGTTAGGGGTTTAATAGAAAGTTTACAGAGTTTTCTTCTAACTCCCATCTTGCTTATGACTGTAACAGCACTAAATATCTGATAAGATGGATATTCCTTTCTAGCACTCCCTTACAGCAAAATGTTTATCCAACAAATTATTTTAGAATGCAGCTGTATGCTTTTTCAGTGTTACAAACGTTGTATTCTGTGGCCATTTTTCCCCTGAAGTGTTCTGACAAAAAGCTGCATGAGATTAACAAATATCCTCCCCAGCCTCTGAACTGAACTGAGTCTTGTGAATTCCAAGAATTTTACACTGCCACTTTTTAGTAATTGTCCTCTACAAATGGGTTGAATTAGCACAGAGTACTACTTCATTTATGCTTAAAAATAGGCACAATAAAGCATTTATGCTATCTGTTCAGTATTTATTTGCTTCGACAAAAAAAATAGTTGAACTAGTTTTGAGAATACTTATTACAGTGTTTGTTACAATCTAGCTCCTGTTACATCTTAACTGTCCACAGGTCATAATTGCCAGTAGGGTTTTTAACTCTTTCTTCTCTCTCTTCCTGTATCCCATAGATGCTTATAGTTTCTTTTCCCCATACTATCATACTGTAGCTGGAAAGTCAGAGAAGGTTGTTCCCTACCTGTAACTAATTTAAAGTTCATAGCTTTTTTTTTTTTTTTTTTTTGTCAAAACTGGAGGAAGGCTTGTTGGTACCAGTTGATTACATAAGATATATCCTCCTTTAGAGGATAGAACTTAGTCCTCATATAAAGTATTTGATATTTCTGATATTAATATTTGCACATCCTCATGGGCTTCAGCCCAAGTGCTTTGCCATTTACTGTATGTTTTTTCTAGCATGACTTTCCTCTATCAGAAGTTGATTCTAGTGTCATTCAAGTTGCCTATTCTGGGTTTTTTCCTTTGGGTCACTTCTCTCAAAATGTTTGTAGACTTGCCCTCTCTTACAATATTATAGAGCAATAGTGAAATTTGCCATGGATTACAGTTCAGCTGCTGCTGTGTTTCATCTGGATTCACATTCCCACTCTGTATGTGCTATTTTAATCTTGTTCAAAATGTTGGCCTGACATTTTTAGATGATGTTTATTTGTTTCTCAAAAGGGAATGCACATACAATAAATATCCACAGCTATAAAAGCCTGGATGAGCTGCATTCATACTTTAGAGCACGAAATTGAAGATGAGCAGCTTCCAGACATTTCCTAATTACTAAACAATGCCGTGGCCTGTTCTTGTCCCAGAAGTAGGATATGACCAAACGAACTCTGCCTTTTCAGAAAAGATGTGCATCCCAGGGCCCTGCATGTGGCTGTTTCCCCGGAGCAGACAGTCTGCCGGACTCCACAAAGAAGGAAAGTGGTGTCCTAAGCATGGGAGGGAGCGAAATTAGGGACTGGAGACGCCGAGCTAAGCTCTAAATTTTGCCTCTTGCAGTGTGTCGCTGCAGAGCAGATTTTTTAGACAAAGACAACTGGGCCTTGTTCATGACTTAAACCTGGTGTCGTTTGAGTTCTCATCTGTCGTTCGTAGGATTTACAGAGAGGGGAGTTAAACCTGGGTTTTAGGAATACCGTAACTGCAGCGTGTGCGCAGCGTGCATCCCTTACACTGCAGCTGGCGAACATTTAAGGTGGCGCGTCTTTCCCGGCGGTAGCGTAGACCCGAACAGCGCGGATGGGAAACGGACTGTATGGA